TACTGCTACTGCTACTACAACTACCACTGCTACCCCTGTGCTGCTACAGATGTGTGATTTTGCTGGATTAAAGGCAAAGACTAGGGTTCAGCCTCCGGCCACGGGTCTTATCTTGAGTCTACAGCACCCGGGTGTAAAGTTCGGGATCCAGTTCCCGAAGTCTTAAAACTTGAATTTTAGGGTTTAGGGGTTTAGGGTTCAGGGTCAGTCACCCTTGTGAATTTTCCGCCCTGTACTGTCGGCAGGTCTTCAACATGCCGGGCCCTCAGACTTTGACTTTTACGTGGGTCCCTGATCTTCGCGGGCACATGCCTTAGGAACGAGTTTGCAAATACCGTCCGGGAGAAGCTCGCCGATGTCGGTGTGGGCAATCGGGCCGTCTTCAAAAACTTGTGCATCCAGGAGAAGTGACCACTGTACCATGTATACATGGTGTAATAATGCTACATAACACATGTCCTCGTAGATGTGTGTATATACATTCATGAGTATGTACATACGGTCACACATACTTGCAACCATCATGCCAGGCGTTGTGTTAGGTGTGGCCCCCAAACCGCTCGCCAGGACGGTTTTCGCTGCCAGAAGGGTCCCACATGTTGACACTGTTTAAAATGCGGCTACATGATGCCCATAGCGATGATTGTTGTGCCGATCCCAACAAAAAACAGCCGCGGGCTGTTGCGGATACTTCGACTTCGCGACTGCCGCAGAAACCCGAAGAATTTACACACAAAGCTCTACAGGAACCATCAGCAGTAAATCAAGTGGGTCCCTAGTCTGGACGCTACATGTTGTGCCCGAAAGACTCCAAGAAGGAGGCCATGCGGATCTCCCTTGACATGGCAATCCTCCATTCTCTAATTTCTACAGGCTGAGAGCGCTGAGCTCGAGGTAGTGCTCAGGGTTTGGGGCCTAAGGAGGCCCTGGGTTCTGAAAGCCCGGCCCAGAGCATCTTAGTTCCCCAATACCCAACCTTTAAACTTTTTGGGCTCTTATAATTCAGTAGTAATCTGAAAGTTTAACCTTTTATTTCCCTGGCTTATTGGCGAAGTAAGTACGTTCTTCTCAGGACTCGTAGGAAGACATCTAGTGCGGATGCCCTGCCTGAGCCGGGAGGCAGTACAAGCCTAGTGTCATGGCCCTTGGCGTTGATCCCGAGTCCCTAAATTGTCCGAGCTTGAGCGCCGAAGCAGCAAAACCCGGATACTTTAACCCTAAACCCTAAACCCTAAACCCTGAACCCACCCAGACGCCTGCGGCAGGAGCGGAAGGTCGTCCACAGCGTCGCTGCTGAGATGGGCTTGCATACCATGGACGGAGAAGAAGGTCGGCATTAAATCTCGGGCCCCAGACCGCAACCTTCTGGAATCCTTAGAACCCCTGTTGTTCCCTTGCCCCAAATATTAAGCGCCCCCCCCTTTAAAAACATCGAAAAGTGTGTTCGTTAGGAGGGTTTTTATCTCTACGTTCACTTTCGGTGGTTCTTGCTCTTGCTACTGCTCCGTCTCTTGTCCGTTCGGAATCGACTGACTCTAGAATCGGCTTCGGCGAGGTTGCCTGACAGTTCCCGCAATGGCAGCGACGACTAGTACTACGGGATGAAGAAGAGGATGATTGCCATTGGTAATACTATGTAGTAGTATCTATATACCTTGACTTGTGGGGGCACGTGTGTTTGCTTTCAGGTTTTCGCCTGTGCGGCTTTCAGGTTTAAGGTTTAGAGTTTCTGATGACCTGACCAGGCCTTACAGTGTCTGGCGGGTCTCTCTCCGCAAGCATCGTGCGATGGGGCGAGTGGTTCTTTCCCGGCAGTGTTCTAGGTATCTGTTAGTTGTATCAGTCCAACTTTCGCCACTTGAACAGCATGGCATGCTGTTTCGCATCCAGCGGCTTAAGACCTGTCCGGAGAAGCTCTTCCAAAGAACGGCGCAATTCTAGTTGTTGTGTCGCCGAGAAATTGAAGGTGATGACCTCAAGAACGTGATTGTGACGTCCGGCACCTTGGCTGCACTTTCAATCACCATCCGTAGAGGGTCAGGTGAAGAATCCTTAGGTAGCCAACGGCAGAGCTTCATATTTGTTGGCCTGATACTGTATATATTTTTTGGTCTGCTTGAGAAAGTTCGAACGTTTTTTTGGGCCCGGTTATTGAAGAAGAGAGAACCTCTGAAACGAATGCTACTCGGCTGGAAGATGTATTATAGCATCCTCAGGCCCGGCGTCAGATTCTGCACCCCGACCTGCGCAGAAACCATGCAACCTGAAACCTCACCAACCAAGCCTTTCTCTCCGATGCCATATATCCCTTCAGCCTATAGTACACCCCAAAAAGCTGGAAACCGGATTAAGGACGAATAGTGCTGGGATTCCCTATACATTACTCTCAAGGATTGAGGCTATTGGGTTTCCAACTTTGGGCTTCTACTGTATATCTATCTGCACACGGCAGTGCTGGGGCCTGGTCTTCGTTTGACATGGGAGCTATAGATCTGGGGCAATTGGGGATAGTCGGGCGGTATATAGGGTTTAGAGTTTAGGGATCTTATGCATCCCTGCCTGAAGACGTCTTGCTGTTCTTGCTCTGCCGACTGTGCAGCGAACTAAGATGTGGAGTTCCAGGCCGAGCAGGCTCGACAGAAGCTACTGAGTGCGGCGAGAGTTGCATGGCAAGAGGATCATTGTGGTTTAGTGTCGAGAGTGCGCAAGTCGGGAGTTGTTCCCGATGGCCTGCCTTGAAGGCGCGTAGATGAGGGGGCAAAGACGGGTGCAGCAGGAAGGGGGAGGACCTTAATTTGCAAGTTGTGAATGATGCTCCTGTGCCACTGAAGCAGTTTAAGCAGCTCGGAGGCGGCGCGGATGTCCCAAGCAGCAGATGGAGGTCCTGCTGGGAAACCAGCAGCCAAGATGGCTCGACATGCGATCAGCTAGCACAGGGCATGCCGAGGGTGCAGTTGAGATAGCTCCGAGGTAAAGTTCCGGGTACCTCAGCTGGTCCTTTTGCACTTGAAGTTAAAAGGACCAGGTGCCAGTCCTGTTTGCGACAGGCAGTGGCCATTTCATCCTTCCGCAGACAGCCCAGCAGCAGAAGGTCGGACTGCAAAGACGACATGTCGAAATCTTCCGGGAATGTTCTAGAAGTCCAGCTTTCGATGCTGAATGTCTTGGTTTGCGGGGTGTTCCAGCAGCTAGTGTTTTTTTGTTGCTTGCTTTGCCCCGTGAAGTCCTGAACTCTGAAGCATTGCATTGCGGAGTCCGAGCAGAGGAGTCAAGCAGCCTGGTAGGACTTCTGGGCTATGGCGGACAGGAACGGCCTCTCCCTGGATGCTAGCTTCCATGGATCCGGCAAGAGCATCTCGGATTTAGCGCCAAGCTGGCAAAAGGACCACACGTCGTACGTATTAGCCAGCAGCAATATTATTATTTTTGTGCGATGATCAGAAGTTCTTTGAAGCTCAACCCGAGGACAACATGACCCTTTAACGCGAAACCTCAAAGCACTACAAGCCCCGAGCCCTAAGCCGCAAAAAGGTCGCTTCGATTTCAAGGGTGGCGATGTGGTGCATCTGGCTACGGTGAAGTCGCGAAGCGGCTCCAGCGCCAGCGATGGCGACGCATATGACGAGAAGCCTGGTGCTGCTGGCTCAGGCTGCTTCGGCAGGTTATAGGGTCTAAGTTTTAGGGTGTCATAGGGGTACTAGAATACGGGTTTTGGGGCTCAAAGTAAGTTTAGAGTTTGATGTTGACAAGTAAGTCCCCACCTGCGCTGGGTGCTAGAATATTACAGACAGTTCTTATGTGCATTTCCTCGTTTCACCGAGTACTGTGGTGCATAATCGTCAACGGACTACAACATGGATTCCTGTTTACTGCTTTGGGTGGGATCATCGATCCTGCATATCAGACCATGCTACATCCCACGAACCATCAAGAACAGCTACTTCCTGGACTACCATCTTCAGCTGGCCCTTAAGCTTAAACCTCTTGCCCAAAAGACTCAGGGTGAGAACCACGACGAGACTTGCCCGCGAATTCTTGGCACTTGGTCACGACTTGCGCATATTCCCGGGCCTTTCCCACGAAGCCATCTAAGCCTTGTATGAACCTATAACGCAAAACCCCAACAGACCACATCCTAACCATTTCGACGAGTTCTTGGCCAAACGCATCTGTTTTCACCCACGCGACCTACAGACATATGCCCTCGCGTATTGTCCTAGTTGTAAGTAAGAGCCGAAAGCTCACCACTTCTTTCTAAACCCAATCCCCGAAACCCTAAACCTAAAACCCTTTATGTGAACCCTAAAGCCCTTGCCAGGTTTGCGGCTAGGCTCCATTGAGCGGGGCACTGAGGCGACGGCCGAGGAGACGTCCGAAGGCAGACTGCCTGAAGTGAAGGGTTTAGGGGTTTAGGGGGCTTTAGGGGTTTTAGGGGCTTTATGGGGTTTTAGGAGGTTTAGGGTTTAGGGGGTTTAGGGTTATGTGAATTTCGGGACGTGGGCTTTATAGGGTCCAGGGATTCAGGGCTAAGTGCATTGCAGCCCCTGCTCTGCAAGGGGTTTAGGGACTCCAGGCTTGGGGATGCTATTGGGGATGGCACACATTCCAAGCTTATACTGGAAAGGGGCTAGTCATTTAGGTTTGATGTTTCAGCTGGCCCCAAAAATATCGCAGAAACTTGTTTTTGGGTTTGTGCTTCGGGCTTATGGCTGATGCATGGATTCAGAGATTGGCAGGTTTTGTATGTAGGGGTCAAGGCTTCAAAAGCAAGGTTTAAGGTTTGTTAGGACCTCACGACCTTTTCGGATTGGGCTTCGCAGATGACCTACATACTGCAAACTCGACTTCTACATTCTGGTGTTTATTCTGTTGGTGATAGATGCGTACATGCATCCCGTTGTCGTTATCGCCATCGCCATCGTCAGCAGCATTTTTCCTTGCTGACAGTATGTACTTTCATTCTATTCTATGGTTAGGCCAACAATGCGTCTTGAAGGCGTAGGACCTAGACCTATATGGACATGAATTTCATTGCGAGCCATACCTTCGGGAGGGTTGAGGATCGTTAGGTACAAGCATGAAATCCCTCATAGCCTGAGCAAGGTGACACTGTGTGGTGATTTGGGTTTGACCACTCTTGCTCGGGGACCAACGAGGGTGTGGGTTTCTTTCGGGTGTAGGTGCGGTTGTCTCTGGATCAGGACTCCTGGCATTAAGGCTGCTGCTCTAGCGGTTGATGCTTGTAGGGGTTCTTTCCTCTTTCGCCTTCCATGACAGCTTTGCAGCAAGGGTGAATAGGCCGAATAGGCTCTTTAGCCTTTTGAGGTCCCGATAGTTGCTAGGCCGTATGCCTGTGTTTTGGCCGGCCTTGTCTTGATTCGTCCGAGTGCGCGCATCAAGATTGTAACAATTTCTTCAGTCCCCGAAGATGAACTTCGCTGTCAGACCCTATACAGACCCGAAACTTCCTAAACCCTGAAGAAGTCTAAAAAGTCCAGTTCAACCCAACACCGAATACTGCATTCTAAACCCTGGAGGTTGCTTCGAGAGTAGGTGCTGCGAAGGCTGCAAGCGCAAAGCGAGGTGTAGTTCTAATCGCTGTATAGCCAACTTAATATATAGGCAACAGCACTGCTACATGCCTAGTCAAGAGCAAGCCATATGGGAGAAGTTATTCCGCCGAAAGGACAAGCCCCCACAATTGTGACTGTGCTTCAAGAAACCTAAACCCCATAGCTTCGCAACCCTAAACCCTAAGCAAGAATGGCTTCAACCCACCCCATATCCTGAGCCCAAGCCCCCAAAATCCCGCAAGTAGAGACACCCTAAACCCCGACACCCCATTTCCTGTACACACTATCTCACTACGGGCTGTGTCCTGGCTAGGCGGGAGGCAAAAAACTATACACTACCTCACTAATATAAGCGCCTAAATAATTACCAACACTATTTTGGGGTTCCTTATTATAGTAGTTATTATATAATATACCCCCCAAACCCTATTCTAACTATTAAGGCCCTATATTGACCCTAAAAGCTCTTCCAGCGCAGGGATTGACGTCGACTTCCAGAAGTCCGCGACGCTCGCATCCCCGACGATTGAGACCTCCTCCGAGCTGATTCGGCAGGTCAACCCCTTTAGGGTTTAGGGTTTAGGGCTTAGGGTTTAGGGTTTAGGGTTTAGGTAAACCCTTTCGAGAACTGTCACGAAGGGGCCTTAATAAGTGGAATGGGGTTTTGGGGGTATATCATACTAAAATTGTCATAAGGAGCCCCCAAAAACCCTATGCTAATTATTAAGGCCGCTACATCAGAATAGTGGGTGTTACGGGCTTATAAGGCTCTAGGACGTGTATCTTACTTACTGTATGGCTTCAAGGGTTTAGGCAGAACCCTAGAAGTTTAGGACTTAGAGGGGTTTAGGGCTCAGGGTTCGGTCCTAAGGCTTTAGGGTTTAGGGCCTTAGGGCTTTTGTGCCTAGGAGTTTAGGGTTTGGCGCTTAGGGGTTTGGGGCGACAAGGGATGCCCAGTTTATCATATTCGTGTTAGCATGCCGTGGCTTCACAGTTGGGCTTCTGGGGGATTAGGGGAGGTGGGGCTGGTTCGGTGGTTGTTAGAAGGCAAGGAGTGGTTCTCTTCGTTCTCTAAATTCGGGTCCCTCTTGGGGTCCTGTTTAGAAGTATTGGGGACCTTAAAAAGGGAGCCTAACTTAGAGAACTACCCACATCTACTCAATGTGCCCTCCGGCTGATCTGCAGAATCCTCGGGATGAAGGGCTCAGGGATTGGGGTGACGGGGTTTCTGTCATTGGGCTGCCTCCAATCCGTAACCTAACCTCCGGACCAACACGTATAAATGCCATATTCCTGAACTAAGAAGGAAGGGAAGCGGGGCCGTTGTGCAGTAATTCGGGATGGTGGTGTTGAGTGAGTTGAAGGTTGGGCGTCTTTCGCGTGGGTTTTTGGGTGGGTTTGGGTTTGGGGTCTCGGTGTATATTGAAAATGGGAATGAGTACAGTAGTTGGCCTATATAGTTACAGCCTCTTCACCGAAACCAGTTCAAGAGAGAGAGAGAGAGAGCTGTGTGTATGTATATATATATATATACATAGACATATACATATACATGTACATACATATCAAAAAAGCCTTAACTCGGTCCCTGAAGCGTAAATGCTTCGAGGCAACACTGGAGAAAGTCACGGCCGAAGGGCGCATAGGCAAAGTCCTGAGGCCTCACCTCCCGGTGTACACGTGTACAGCTTAGCCTGTAGAATGGAACTCCCAACGACAGCAGAGACTTGCAATTAAAGGTCTAAAAGGAGGCATTTTGAACAACAAGACTAGACCCGCCTGTGGAGATGCACATGGTGTCGGTGAGGGTGAGATCACATCGTAAACCAGCCCCAAACCATTTTGCCCTGCAGGCATTCGATGCTTATGCCTCGGGCAACTCCCGTGGGGAAAGAATTTTTTTGCGCTATGCCACTTGATGGCGTTCATTGAGCCCCGCATGTTCAGACTCCGCCTTAGCCCTGATTGGCTGAAGCCTAAAGACCATGTAGACCCAAAAGGCCCGAACTTCTGTGCGCGCAGTGTATTTACAAAACATCTAGCCCTTTTCTCACCGTTGCAGCCGTGCAGTCTTCGATCCTCGCCCCGTAAACTGCCCTGATCTCGAGTGCCCGTACCTTCGTTTGGATTTCTTAGTCGGCGTCTCCATCAGCCGTCTAAACCAAGTGCGTACGGAATCGTTGCTTCCCCGAAACCCTCGGGCCCTAAACCACCCCCAAAAGCAAACCCTACACCCTAAATGGGGTCGTATCTCAGCCCAGGAAGCGCTAAGCCGGGTTGTCTGCGGTTTAGGGCCCCCAAGCTTAGAGCCAACTCGGTGTGACACTGTCGTAGCAAGTTTCGGGTCGTACAGTTTAGGGTTTTGCAGCTTCGGTCTTTGAGGTTTAGGGTTTCGGGCTTGGCTTGCAGGATTTCGGGTTGACGTTGAGAGGTTGGCTTACGTCTACTCGGGTTGCAGGTGGGACAGGGAACACGACGGCATACGTGGTGCCGAATGGCCTTAATCATTAATGTCGACGTCAGCTTATCAGATCATGAGTTTCATAACTTTGGGCGAAATTGGTATCTAATGCAGCCTGCGTTGGGCTGAGGCTCGACCGCAGGTGGAGTTTTGGAGCTGCGAAGCTCTTAAACCTCCGCAAGTCAGGGTGCCTAAAACTGAAAACTGTTGAAGACCGCACATCTTGACATGATCCTGAAAGTTTAACTCTGTACCTGGGCAAGCCCCCCAAGGTGGACTTGAAGGAGTTCGCAAGTGATTTGCGTTCTGCGATGCCCGGAAGGCCACGCAGGGACCAAGGCTTAGGCTTGGGGGAAACCCTAAACCCCAAACCCTAAACCCCTAAACCCTAAACCCAAAGCCCTAAACCCTATAAACCCTAAAGGAGGTTGATTTCGGGTCTAGGGCTACGGCTTCGGTCCTGCTCCAGAGTTTAGTGCACTGAATTCGTCATGTAGGCCTCACGGTTTCCAAGGTGAAGACCGGACAACCACTCAAACTCTAAGCCCGTTTTTCGCCATTTAGAGGCCTGGAGAATTTACTGACTATATTGCTTGTAGTATTTCTCAACCCTAAACCCTAAACCCTAAACCCTATAGTAAACCCTAAACCCTAAACCGTTTTGGCCCTGTAGTAGGATAAGCTGAAGTACGGCCAGTGCCAGAACCGGCGAGTCGAGGTTACGGACTTACAGGTTTAACGTTTGCGAGCACGTGCCAAAAAGGTTTACGGTTTAGGGTTTAGGGTTTAGGGTTTAGGGTGTAAGGAGCCCAAATAAAACCCCAAAGCCACCACCCAAGTCTTGATTTTCGACCCGGCAGAGAGATAACATAGACCAGCCGCGTCCTGACCTGTCGACCCTGAGCCGAAATAAAGACCAGAACAAACCGAGCTCCAAGCAGTCAGCCAAAAGCCTTCAGCCACACTGCTAAACCCTAAAAGGCCCAAACCCCCAATCTCCAATTCCTAAGCGAGTAAAATAGCTTAAAACGGCAACGACAGACAAAATAGGTCTAGAAACGTGGGGCTGTATTCTCGAATGCAGGGGCATGGAGCAAAGCTGCCGTCCTTCAAAATGCAAGGTTTCTCAATCAGTTCACAAACCCGAGATGCAAGTCTCAGAAGCTAAAACCAAACTCTTGGCCCCTTAACCCACGTACCATAAACCCTAGACCCTGAACCGAAACTGACCTCAACTGCCATGGCAGGAGGAACTCCTTCCGCGATTTCAATGTCATTTTAGAACTTTGTTTCGCTCCTGAGCGGATCTGAGGTTCATGGTGCAGGGCTTTGAAGCAGAGTGGGTTTCGGGTTTAGGGTTTAGTTAGGGTTGTGCAGGCTTAACGGAATTGAAAACTGACTGTGAAGCCCAACAGCTTCAGGAAAAGAAGGGTTTTGATCGATTTGAGGTGGATGGTTCAGGGAGCAAGGGCAGAATGCCCAAAGCCCGACAATGCGACATCACAAACCCTCAACCCTAAACCCTACAACCCTAAAACCCTAAACCCGAAAAGCTCGGACGTCGTGAAGCCATGCCTGCCTTGGTGAGTCGAAACCTTAAAACCCTAAACCTTAAATTCCTCAACTCAGCTCCCTAAACCCTAAACCCTAAAACCCTCAACTCAGCTGAGGATGACACCACGCAGTTGCAGTCCGATTTTGGCATTCGCGTCGGTCCAGGCGCGGCCAGAGGGCCACAATCCTGGCCTGTTCCGCTCCGGGGTTTGGGGTTTAGGGGTTTATAGGGCCTGTTTAGGGTTTATAGGGCCTCTTTAGGGTTTAGGGTTTATAGTAGGCCGGGCGAGCTCCAATCAAGCCTGTGTCAAAAAGGGTTTACAGCATCTGGCGGTGTCTCTGAAAAACAGACTGCACCTCGATGAATGCTTCCACCGTTATAGAGGCTTTAATATATATATATATTATTCTGGGGTTTCCTTATTATGATTATAAATCATACTATACAGGACCCCCAAAACCCTATTCTAAGTATTCAGGCCCCTACATTAATCACTGAGACCTCGAAGCCGTGCAACATGTCGCGCCGCGCGACCCTATAAGCCCTGAGCCCGCTACCTCCTAAAGCTTTGCAGACCAGAGTTTTACTAAAATTCGGCACGAACGTAAGGCGCTTGAATTCCGGACCCAAAGACATTTCTTTGACCCTACCATGTGCGGAATTCGGCCTCGAATGGGACTGATATAGGGGTGAGGACGTAATAAAAGGAGTGTCGACGTAGGGCTATACGCAATAAACCCAGAGGCTCGGTTATTGAAAAAAGTCAATCACCATATTGTTTTCAGCGCAAAAT